CCGTAGGCTATGAACTGATTGGAAAACCTAGCGAGTGACTGTTTTCTCTGATAGTCCTGACCGTACACTTCTTATCTTTCCCACGTGTCCTGTGGCCCAGGGCTTCCTAGTGTGTAACCGGTGGGTGAATTCCTAAATCTTAATGCCAGGTTTATGGCACTTTCCAGGGTAGATACACAAGGAGGGTCTCTCGTGGCCAGTGCCCTTCACCTGACTATCTATCTGCAGAGGCAGCAATTCCAAGAAAACGTGCTTCTTTTCCCAAGAAACAGAGAGTCGCCATTCCAGGAAGGGAATTAGATATTGAAATATGACAAACTTTACAAAGGATTTTTAAGAAGATTTATTTATTTATTTTTGGAGAGGGAAGGGAGGGAGAAAGAGAGAGAGAGAGAGGGACATCAATGTGTGGTTGTTGGGGGCCGTGGCCTGCAACCCAGGCATGTGCCCTGGCTGGGAATCGAACCTGGGACACTTTGGTTCGCAGCCCACGCTCAATCCACTGAGCTATGCCAGCCAGGGCTACAAAGGATTTTTTAATCCCTTCTGATGCCAGCCTTTACTGTCCGATGGGTGAAGAGATCCCCACGGACGCGTGAGATTTCCCCCTCGTGCTGGCCCCGGGTGTCTCCGAAGAGCAGGGTGTGCTTTTCCCGCAAACTTCCTGCAAGAAGGTAACAGGCAGGTGCCTACACGGGCCAGTTCAGATTCACAAAGGTAGTAACAACCAAACACTTTCCACTCGGATCAAATTCAGATTCCAAAGTCGTTAACTTTTAGTTGTTAACTTGAGATTTTGTGTTATCCCCTTCCCGTCCTTCGGATGGTCCTCCCTGAAGCAGAAACGGTAAAAGAAACGTGAGCAAAAGTCCTTAGATAATGATCTCAGCTCCGAGTTCCCCCTGGAGCCGGTTCCTGTGAGTCCTTGGAGCGTGGCCTACTGAACCAACCTTAGGTATTACCCGCCAGTAAAGCGTGGGTCTCTGTTATTCAGGATATAGAAGCTGCTGTTGCTGTAGCTGTAGCCAACCCATGTATGCTCTTAGTTTTAAATAGGGTGTGGTTTACAAGAATTTTAATTTATGGTCATGGACATTACCCACTTACTTCAGGTCTAATTTCAGCTGGAACAGTTATTTGACAAGGCATTCATGTGGCTAAGAACCTCTGCCTCTTTTATTTAAGCTGCTGATAGATTTAGCTGTTCCCTTTTTGAAGATTTGCACATTTCCTGGCTTACTTGGAACTGGTACCATGTGGGATCAAAGACAACTGGAGACCCTGTATTAATTCTAATAAATGTTAAAACAAAAGTTAAGCTCCATTGTCTGGTTCCTGTTGTAACTGGAAAGAATAGCTCATTCACAAGAAGAAAATGAATAAAAAATTAGGAACAGTGTGCCTTATCTATTCCAAATGTGAGCGCAGATATCTGTTTTGTTTTTCTCTCACTGTATCACACAGCCAGGAAAGTCGTATTTGGTTACAGCTCCGGGGCCTGCATCCGGGTCTTCTGCTCTAGGGATGGGAGGGACCTGCCTCTGTGTGTAGCCCCTGGTTCCCTGCGGGCCGTAGCTGTCGTTTCCCTGTTGTGGCAGCGAGGCCCGGGACGCCAGACAGTGCCATTGCTGTCTCTGGGCCACACTTCTTCAACTCCTTTGCCGAGGTGTGTGGGTGTGTGCTGGTATTTGTGAATAATTTTGCTTCAGGGGAGACATAGAACAACTGGGATTGGCCCCCAGATGCTAGCCTGAATCTGATGTCACAGACCGTCTCGTGAATTTGTCTCAGCCGTCAGGAGCTGCATGGGTCCTCCAAATGACTGTTCTCTCTCCCCGGAGTCAGAGCCCTCCCCTGGTACATCTCCAACAAAGAAATCCTAGAGGAAGAAAAGGAACGTTAAAACCTGGAACACTAAATTCCAACCAGTGACAAGTGGTCTAATATTTCAGTTCTGTTACATGATATTTTCTTAGGTTTTTTAGTCACAGAAGATGTTTCTACGAGATAGTAGAGAGTCTGTGGGATTATAATGCAGTTGTATTGTGTGAGAGACGAAATGGTTCGCAGGTATGTCAGAAGAGCCAAGGATTGCTAGGGTGATCAACTGCTGACACAGTTATGTGACTCAGCTTCTAAATGGGGCCTGGGGTGAGCTGCAGTGTCCTCGTAAGTAAAATGGGGAAATGATCTTTACTGAATGTGGCGGGTGTGAAAATTAATGAGATGGCGTGTGCAAAACACTCAGTACTACACCTGCCACGGAATAAACACCCGATGAAATGATGAACGTGCACACACACGTGCAGGCACACATGCTTTTATTTCCACTTTCAGGGCTTGTCTGGTTACGCCTTCTGTTGAGAAAGGTTCTTTATCTGTACATCTAACCCTTTCTCTGGCCCAATTTCTAGTGTCCAGCAGCTGTTACTGATAGTCCCATTTAGCTGTGCTTTAAGTGGTCACATATTTCTTTGACCTAATGGCAGTCACTTTTTTTTAATTAAAAGAATAATTTTTTTTATTTTTTGAATTCATTGGGATGACATTGGTTAACACAGTTATAGAGGTTACAGGCATACAATTCTATAATACATCATCTGTATATGGTATTGTGTGTTTACTACCCTAAATCACTTTTGAAGTGAACCTATTATGGTGGAGATTTTAGAATTCACAGAATAATGTAACTTTAGAACTTTATCTGAAAGATGAGAAGGATGAGGTTTAGGAAATGTAGATAATTTCCCCCAAGTCATGTGACTTCAAATCTAGATTTCTGGGTTGCCAGCATCTTTTACAGACGCAGGAGAACCCTTCAGGCTGGGAGGAGAGGCTGGGTGAATCCTGGCCCAGAATTCAGGTCAAGAAGGGATTATGTCTGCAGGGAAGAGAGGACTTCTTCTGGCAAGGTGGTTACACATTGTGTGACCTTGTGCCAGTCACTTAACTTATTTCTTCACTTCTAAAATAATATGCTATGCACCCTGCTTACTCATAGAATCCCGTGAGATCTAGATTCTAGACAAGGTGGGTGAAATGTTTGTAAGCTTCAAAATGTTTCATAAATACTAAATTTATCTTTTTTTAAAAGATTTTATTTATTTATTTTTAGAGAGGGAAGGGAGGGAGATAGAGAGAGAGAGAGAGAAACATCATTGTGCAGTTGCTGGGGGTCATGGCCTGCAACCCAGGCATGTGGCCTGACTGGGAATCGAACCTGCGATACTTTGGTTTGCAGCCCGCACTCAATCCACTGAGCTACCCCAGCCAGGGCTAAATTTATCTTTTATAAGCACGCAACACATAACTGTCATATGTATATATTGGATACATAGCGTATATGTGTGCAGCTTAATAAATTAATGTGCTGAGGAAACCGATTTTCAATGAAATCCTTTGCATATTTTTACTGGTGGTGCCCAATGGATATCACCTGCGGTGGGCTCTCTGCGTGCCGCAAAGTCAGCCCAGTATCTTGGAGATTAGGCTGAGCCTGGGGAAGAATGCAGATGGGGATTTCGCCGCCTTGGAATCTAAGTCAACCGTTCGGTTGCTTAACGGGTAGGAAAGGCCGCTGCCCGCAGGGAGTCAGACGCTGCCTCGGCAGGTCTGATTAAACGGGACTATCGAGCTATTTTCAGCTTCACGGATATTAAGCTATTTCTTTGAATCTCAATGGATAATTTACTGGGATTAACTGCTTTCTGCATGACTTAGAAAAGTGACTGCAATGCGAGTCTCTTGTCATATAGGAATTTATAAGAGGAGTGCAGGAATGGCAAATTTGTTCCGACTTGAGGGCTCTCTTCCGTTGGCTGGCGGTGGTGTCTCGGAGACGGGTCCGGAGACTGGGTGTGGGTCAGGCGGGACGAGCGCCCGGATCCCTGCAGCAGGGTCTGCCGTTGGCTCAGGTGGGGATAGAGCGTGTGTGCACCGTGGGAACAGCGCCCAGGCCTCGGTTGTACTCCTGCCGAGTCACATCGACCCGAGAGACCTTGGACGAGACTCTTACTCACGCAGGACTTCAGTTTTCTTCATCTGCAAAAGAATTGGCATGGCCAGCCTTCCCTCCAGGCTCCTGTCTCATTTTCTGTTTCTGAGCTAGGGGCAGTTAACACAGTTTTATTCATGTCAACTCAAGTACATCTTCCTTAGGAAAGGAAGATGACTGTCCTTAATGATTACAAAGGTGTAATCCTACCCTATTTGCCTTTTAGGGTCTTTTGAGATCTAGATTCTGAAGAACATGTGTGGAAATATTTTGTAAATGGCATAAATATTAAGCCACAAGTAGTGGCTTTACATCCTCCAGTTTTCTAAGTAGGAAGCCTATGAATGAAATTCTATTTCTTTTAAAGAGTATTTATTCTCAGAACATTCGTTTAGCTATAGCACAGAAAACTAAAATTAATAGTTATATTTTAGCACTTGGGGGTTGAATGTAATATTTGATGTGGAACTTTTCATCATCCTCTGTGACTCTCAAAATGCGAGATAAAGTTGGTAAATTTCCCTTCTCTGTTAAGGAAAAGGAATTTACATGCTTGTGTATTTCTTTTTGTTTGGTAGAAAAAGTTACTAAATCTTTTTTCCTTCCAGCCACCCTCAAATCAGGCTTAACATGAACTCAGCAGATTTTTTTGGCCAATTTTAGCTAAATCATTTTTTTTTCCAGTTAGAAAGAAGTCATGCCACAAATTACAGTGTTACTCACAGTGTTACGGGCCCTGGAAGTCAAGGTTGGGATCTCTTGTCCGGAGGGAGGTTTGGAACCCCCTCTACCTAGTGCAGCCGACTGCACACCGTGTTCCTCCTTTGGGATTTGTGGTTTTATTTTCTTTCCTATTCTGGTTTTATTTAAAGGGCTGGGAGCTTATGGTTGGCTGGTGGGCATCTGAATTAAGGCAAGGGGGGGGTGCATTGTGAACTTGGCACATGTTTCCCACCGGCTTTTGAGGAAAAGATCCCATGAATGATCGCTCGGCCTCTGTTTTCAGATCAGACGCCGACCCCGACGAGATTCCTAAAGAACTGCGAGGAAGTGGGGCTCTTCAATGAGCTGGACTGCTCCCTGGAGCACGAGTTCCGGAAGGCGCAGGAGGAGGAGAGCAGCAAGCGGGTAGGTGCGCTCGGGCGGACAGGCGCCCCCTGGAGCCCCCCGGAGCCCCCCGGAGCCCCTGGGACAAACTTCTGCCTGGGAAGTGGGTGGCCCTGCAGGCTGATTGCTGATGTGGCCTGGGCCCGAAACAGTATTGTATCCATTTGCAAGTGTCTGTCTAATGTGTTTTTTTTAAAAAATATGAATCCCTGGTTGTGATAGACTCCAAAGTCAGAAAAATCATGGGAAAAACTGGTATCTGAAATCAGAAAAGCACTTCCTCTTTTTTGAACTCGAGTCAGATAAACTCACAGACTTTTTCTGTTCAGAACGAGTTGTGTGGCTTTGCTGAATGTTCAGTAGTGAGCCTCACATGGCGGTGAGTGTGGGGTCTAGAGTCACAGAGACAACAGGGGAAACATTAGAGCAGGGGCAGCTTCTCCGGCTTGCGGCCCGGGCTGAAACCGTCTGACTTCCGTAGCCCGCCCAGAAGATCACCGCCAGGTTCGGATGCTTCCCAGTCGTGCTATTCACCATCTGTTTCTGTCGAGACAAACAGGTTCGCCGCAAGTGTGATTTGTTGGTTCTCACAAGCATAGAAAATCCACTTTATGAATCCCTCCAGAATATATTCGGTTTTGTTGTAATGTTGTGCTGGCATTTCCAAATCACTTTATAAGATTAAGGAAAGGAAATGAGGTCATAAGTAAGTGTGATAATGAAGCTTTTTAGTATTTTTTCATTGTTTTCACAGAGCATTATTGCATGCTCAAAATGTACTAAAGAACAAATTAGATACGTTCCATGAACAGAGTCTTAAAATGTGAACGTTAGTTGACAGGAAGGACCAGCTAGATCGTAATGGATTCTGAAATTCCAGCTGCTCCATCCGGGGAAGAAATTTTAAAAGGTTCTGATATTTCTGTAAGTGTTTCCAAACCTTTGAATCCCCCTGTATGTGAAATTCTAATAATCCCTCCACCGGGTTTCTCATGTCATGTTCTCACATCCAAATGGTCAAGAGCTTGTATTCAGCGTGTACTGCTTTAGAAAAATTATGAAAATAGGTGAAGGTAATAGCCAGAGGGACATAAAATCTCAACCGACTCATTTTATTTGCTTATAATTAATTTGCCACTTACACTATCAAGTATCAAGGATACCCCTATCCCCGCCACCTCAATGGTAGGAAGGGTCTTTTTTCTTATTTTTAAGCAAATGCTTATTTAGCTCATATTTGCCACACACTGTTATGTGCATTCAAAAAATTAACTCAGTAAAATAAAAGGTAGACATTCTGTATTTCATTGCAATAGAAATAGATTTCTTAAAGAATAAAACCCATGAAAATAGCAAGCGAGAAGCAGAGCCCCAAACTAAAACGTTTAGTACATGTGTTCTGGTTGAAAAATAAATGTAGCTCTCCTGGTAGGTGGGGCATATGCAAATAGACTAAGGGAACAAGTTCAATCATTCCTCAAGACAGTCGAGGTTGGCTTCTTAGATTAAATGGAACTATGTGAAAGGTGCGTACTTGGCTTGTATTGTCTTTATTTCTGATAGAGTGGCTTTAACGGAAGTATACACCTTTGGTTTTCTTTAAGACATTTGCCACGGACAGCTTTAGGAAGCCCTTGGGAGAGGCGTGACTTAGACGGTCCCCATTACATGGCACTCACAGTCTCCTAGACAAAGTCACGTGGAGTTTGTGAAATATTTTCTCCTTGTGGACCTGAGAGTCGTGTAACTGGTTCTGTTTCTCTTTTTGCTTTGACTGCTCGGTTAACGTGAAGCTGAGTTTACTACTTAACTTTGATAACTTTTTGGAACACTGTTATGAGAGTATTTCACTTCCCCCCAGACTAGACTTTCAGTTCTAGTTTACATTTCCTCTGGTCCTGATTATTAATTTAAGAAACATGGTCACGCTATACATTTTTTTTGTGAGTCGCTTTTGATTCCTCGTGAGTTGATAAAGAGTATAAATGATTAAACTTTAAACATGAAGATAATTAGGCAAGCAAAGTTGAAAACCAGGACCACTGTCATTGTAGAAAAACAGTATTTTCTCTCTTTTCAATGTTGCCCTTAGCCAGGTGGTGATTTCTCGATGGGTGTGTGGCAGTGGGGCTCCTGTGGCCAGCTTTCCTTGTGGTTCTGGGCAAACCTCTCAGCAGACCACTGCCCCACACGCCAACGTCACCTGCACACGCCCGGGAAGGCGGACAGCTTTAAGGCGGTGGAGGCATCCTCTTCCCCTGCCCCGTTAAAGCCCGAGGGGCCAGATTCAGGCTGCGGTGCCCGTGGCTGCACAAGAGGGCACCTTCCGAAGGCCTGCCGTGTGATGACTCAGCCAAACGGGCTGTGCTGGGGGCTTCCGCTCTAGCATTTCTTAGGAAGCCACCGCGTGGGCAAATGAGGAGAATGTGCTCTCCTATCTGTTAATATAGTTTTACCCATCCCTCTGACCACATTTCTCCAGCTACCAACACCCTGGCACACCACCAACCCCGGGCCCCACTTCATGTATTTGTCCCCTGCTTTAAAAAAAGGAATAAAGCTCCTTAGTTAATGCACCCCTTATTATTACCGAGTGCTATCTTCTCCTTTATTCCTTCTGCTCCACCTTCAGAAAATTATTTCTTGTTATTTCTGTGTCCCTCTCTTCTGATTGCTTTTTCTTCTTGTCTTTTAATAAAAGACTTGCATTATTTTCCTCAGCAAGCTTTGGTAAAGTGAAAGATGGATGAATATATCTGGGGAACTTGTTTGAAAAAATCCTTTCTAGAACTTTCAAAGTACTTTGTACAAAAATATTGGAAAGACTGGACTGGTCGTTCCCTGCACCTTTAAGTTTCTAGCTTTAGTTTGGTCTAGAAAATCCTATTAAAGAGTAAATAGAAAATTGACCCTTGCTTAGCCCATGTGGCTGTTCATTGGGGAAAATTATGATCTACAGACTATCTCCCATTCAGATGCCCTTTTCCAAAAGTATCCAATATGTGGGCAGAGTGAGGCCAGGCTAGAGGCAGGCCGTGACCTCTGGAAAAAGCCTCAATGCCTATATCCACATCCGAAATAGCAGGCACCACATTCCACAATTGCCTCAATTTTCCATGTCCGTGTGAGCTCAGGGACTCAAAACTCTTTAATAAGAGATCATTTTCCCCCTTGGAAAAGCATCCATTACTAGCAGGCATGACAAATTGAAGCTTGCCTATGGCTTAGAAGTCAGGCTATTCTGTGTCCTAAAACAGATGAGAAATTTCGTTCACTGTTTTCATTCAAGAAATGTGTTTGAGTGCCCACCACTTACCAGCCACTGTCCAAGGCATTGGCGAATAGACTACTGGCTAAAGCTGGTAAGAAAAGGAAAACAAAACAAGCTTGCTTTCATGTAATTTATTTCTAGTGGGCAAGACAAACAAGAAACGAGTAAAGACAATAAAATATGTAAAATTTCAGAAGATGATAACAGCTTTGGAGAAAAATATGACAGGGAAGGGGCATGGCGGGGCGGGGCAGTCAGGGAGGGCGTGGCTGGCAAGGGCAAGCGGAGGAGAAGGCCTGGACCAGGTGAGTGCTGGGGAGAAGAGTGAGTGTTCCAGGTGGAGAGAGCAATAAGTGCAAAGCCCCGAGGCTAGAGGATGCTCAGTGGGTTGGAGGAATTGCAAAGAGGCGTTTGGCCGGAGGAGAATGTGTGATAATGCCACAGAGTGGGTGTGCGAGGGCAGATCCAGGAAGGCCCGGAGGCTTTGGCTTCTCCTTGGAGTGAGATAGGGAACTACCGAACAGATTGGAGCACAGGAGTGATAGGATCTGACTCATGTAATAGAATATCACCTTGGCTTCTGAGTCCAAAGGGAACTGTCGGAGGGCGTCAGCAGAGAAAGATTAGCTAGGATGGTACTGAAAGGGTCCAGATGCAGGATGGCGGTGCCTTGGTCAAGATGGAGGTGGAGGCATGGCTAGATTCTGGCTCTATTCTGAAGAGGGAGATGCTGGGATTGGCTGATGGGCTGGATCTGGGGAGTCGTAGAAAGAATGGGATCAAGGACAAGCCAGGTTTTTGGCTGAAGCAACTAGAAGAAGGGAATCGCCTGTGGGAAGAGCAGGTAGGAGGGGCAAATGGAGAGGACTGTTTTCAGACTCGTTGGAAGGAGATACTGGATCGGCAGATGGGTATCTGGGTTCTATAATTCAGGAAGCAGCCGACCTGTCTGGAGATGTAAATTGGGAGTCACAGGCAGATCGATGGTGTTTAAATACACACGAGACTGGAAGAAATTACCTGGGCCAGGAGTGACTGCAGATGCAGTAGAGAAAAGGTTTGGGCATAGGACTTGGCACAGCCCTTTGAACCTTCCAGGACGGAGTCGTCACCTGTCCTCAGTGGCCAGCGGTGACGCGGAAGACCATGAGGCATGAAGAATCAAGTCAAGCCTGGGAACCCTCGCAGTGATGCCGACGGGAGTCCCATGGCTGGCAGCCGGCATGCTGATTTCGTGTTCCGTGCCAGAGGAAACAAAGAAGAGTTTTAAAAAAGAAAATGAAAGAAAGAGGGGGATGAGCTGATCCTTTACATTTGATTTTTTTTTTAAAGATTGAATAATGCACATCTAGGAAGCCGCAGAGAGCTACACCATCTGATAGCAGTTGTGTGCAAGCGTGCGTGTGCGCGCGTAAGAAAGGAAGGGGAGTTGAAAGGACTAGATATTAACTCCTTTGTCTTGCTGAGAGAAATAGAACATTCCAGCCTAACGTGGTTAAGGACCCTGACGATGAAAAGTGCTGTTACAAGTGCTAAGTGTTGTTATGCTCCCCTAGGACCTAAATCTGACTCATTATGCTGACGCAGCAATAGCAAATTAGGACATTTCCATGCTCTAGAATTCCTACCCAAATGATGAAAAGTGCAGTCTATTCCCAGAGGGCGTTGACTATTTAACACATGGGAACGAGGGACAAGCTACAATCTTAAGATCTCAGATCCCAGCTCAACAGGAGTCACGGAACAGGGC